TTTCATGTTTGTTATTCTAGAACACAAACATGCCAACAACCCCAGTTTAATTGCATTTACTTTAAACATAAGGAGGCAAAAAACATTTCTCTTCAGGCCCCCATGTTGTCCTTTCCTCCTGGCTCTCAGACATGTGGGAAGAACAGATGAAGCAGCAACATCAGCCAGAGCTCCTACAATGCTTCCCTTTCAACTACTCTGTGTCACTCTTCCCCTGAGGGACTCCTCTGGCAGGCCAAGAATTCTTTTCTTCAAGACTTCACAATAAATCCACATAAACAAGGACCAAGTTATAAAAAAAACAACCTTTATTTCATGTACCAGGATTTTTTTTTGTAATTTTCTGTTTTTAAAATTTTTTTAACAGTCTGAAAAAAATTCACAAATTAAAGAAAATGGAGGTTGGTTTCTTGAACTGGTTTGAGCTGGACATGAGCAACATCCTCAGGAAAAGCTTCCCTGCCAGTCCTAGTCCTCCCCCTTCTCTCTCCCTCTCTGGCACATTCACTCTCACACCCAGGCGCTCATTCATTTTCTCCGATACTTCTGGGAATGCTTAAGAACTCTGTGGGCACCAAGTTCTTAAAAGCAGCTTTGGATTTAAACCAAAATACTGTACTCTGTCTACGCCAGAGTTTGAGAAACCAATTTTAACTCAGTGTTTGGAGGGGAAGGGGGAAATTATTTTTCATCTGTTCTTTTACATGTTAAAAGACCTGGGGACCAGGTGGGGATAGAAAGCTGGGAAGGGCATGGGTGCAAACTAAGGCATGCACCTAGATGATCAGTTTCATCTAAGCTTTCTCTGTGCTTCTCCATCAGCACTAGACCTTCCCTTTGAGCCCTAGAGAAAATTCGTTTAACCTTGGCCTTAAATTTCCCACATGCTGCTCCCCAACCCTGCCCTGAAAGGGATCCCACTTTCCTGTGCTGAGAGGAAAAGAAGGATAAAGCAGCAATATCTGAGGGCAGGAATTGTTTTCAGAACAGTGTCTACTCTCCAGTGGGAGCTGAACCATGGGACTTAAACCTTCCCTTTGAGCCCTAGAGAAAATTCGTTTAACCTTGGCCTTAAATTTCCCACATGCTGCTCCCCAACCCTGCCCTGAAAGGGATCCCACTTTCCTGTGCTGAGAGGAAAAGAAGGATAAAGCAGCAATATCTGAGGGCAGGAATTGTTTTCAGAACAGTGTCTACTCTCCAGTGGGAGCTGAACCATGGGACTTAAA